GGGCGAGGGGCGGCTCCGTACTCGGCTCCGGCCCCGACAAACGCAGCGAATCGTGAATCCCACTCGGGGTACTTATCCCACGGCTGTCCCGCTGCAACCAGGGCGAAATCCGTCCCTGGAGTTGATACATGGAGCGGGGGGAAACTAACCCAAAGGCAACACAGCGTATTTGACTAATTTTGCAAATAACTTTTTCTAACCCTTTCAGATTTTTAATTTTGCAGTCTCCTGGCAAAAGTCAGTCCTCATGGGGAGCAGGAGAGAGGGTGGGTTTGTGGGTTCTGACGAACTGAGGGGAGGAGTGAAGGGTCACCTCCGATTCCTGTCAGAAGCATTAGTACAAATTAGGGAGTTTTTCTTCTTTTTTTTTTTTTTTTCAAAAGCTGCCACGCTTATCACACTACTTGAATTCATCCAGAAATTCTATCAGCTTTGTAGGTACAAGAAGTTACTTAACCCTCTCTCATGAGAGATTACATCGCAGTTGAGGCATTCCCCCAGGACCAGCTGCTCCCACTTGCCAAGATCTCCCTTCCATGTTGAGACTTAGTGCTATCATCACACCCTACCACTATTTTCTCATATTTTATCTGCAGAATTAAGTAAAACCTAAAATTTGGATTTTTTTTCCCCCCCTCTATGCTCTTTGCAGCATCGTGCCTTGCAAAACATCACATACGTTGTTTGAGTTTGGGTAGGTTTTTTTGTTTACCTCAGCTATAGGGAGAGATGTTTGCCTACCAGAGAAGCGGCCGGGAGGGCCTCTCTCACGCTGTAGTCACAGGCCACTGTACAGACGCCAGCGGCCAGCCACGTTCAGGCAGCTCAGCCGTGAGGAAAGAAAGGGAAAGGCCGAGCAGAGGCTGCGCACCGCCTGAGGGCGACCAACCCAGCCATACCCGCAAGCAGGGGGCTGCGGACACACCATGCCCCGGGCCCGCCCCGGCGGAGGCTCTAAGGAACCCGGGGCCTCCCCTCACGCAGACCGCGGGGTTCAGCCTCCATCTCCACAGCCGCCCGTCGCTATGGAAACGGGCGCGGGGCATGCCGGTCTGAAAGAAACTGCTGAAGTAAAATGCTACGAGAGCGCCGAATGCCGACCAATGAGCGCCCGGGGGGTCG